TGCTACAAAACGTGTACTTACGCTTCCTGCAGCACTGGGGGACATCTCCTCACTAGGATTGGGGTTTCAGAGTAGCAAGTAAAGAATAGGACAAAAGTACATTTGGGATGGCCATACAAGAAAGTGGAAAACAGTGAAAAGCACTGTGTTTTCTCTGTTCTCAAGGAAGGCATGAATTAATAACACTCTACATTCGATGAAAGCAGTTGCATCTCCCTTTCTAGAACACCAATAAAATGATGACTGTAATATGTTTTACAGTCAGATACAAAATTCTGTACTCCAATTCTTTCTTAAAAATTTATGCCTGAAATGCCGGTTTTTTACTGTTTAAATTCACAATAGTGATAGTACTTCTCTTTAAATGCTTTCTATTGAGTTGTCCCCCTGTTGCCCCCTCACCTGGTCAATGTGGTGGCAATAATGAGAAGTTTTCTGAAAAAATGAAGTACTTCCAGCTGAAGAAAAATCCAGCTAAAACTATTTTAATCTTAAAACTTGCACACAGTTATACCAGATCCAAGACTGATATTCAAAGCTGAATGGCTTTAAAAAGAAAACTTTCATTTTTTTTTCATCAAAAGCTTCTAACCTAACAGTTTTAAAACCCTCATGTATTTTTATAGCAGTATTTCAGAATACAAAAAATTTAGGAAACCAAGAAAGCTTAGAAAGGAAAACCAAAATTGATGCAGAAAAATGCCACTCCATTAATTTAAAAACAAATTTCTGCAGCCTGCTTTCAGGGCTAAATCTTACACAAACATCATGAAGGAGATTTAGACACAGAGTGACCTAATCTTGGTGCACATTTTTTGTTGTCTTTTAAGTGTTTAACTACCCTTACCCTATGCAATCACTCATTCTGCCTTGCCCTGCCTTCCTATCAAAGGATGTGGATGCTGCAGATATTTCTTAGCTAAGTGCCAATGTAGCTAAAATCAAGGAATTAAAAAAATGCTGTCTATATTGCTGTTAAACTAATTTATTCCACCACCTTGAAGGAAATGGGGTAGCTTTTTGCAGTGATTTCATGATTTGATAAGAGGACTTCAATTCTCAATCCATTGTAATTCTAGGTGCCTGACACTTTGTATTTTGTTCCAGTTCCCACTGAGTTGCTTCCAACTGTCTGCAATAAAAGCACTTGGGGATGTTTTGCACAACCTTTTACTTGCCTTGCTTTGTTTTGTTTTTTAATCTGTAATTGAATTTCACATTAAAATACTTTCTTCAATATACACTTAAGTTATGCTGATCTCAAACTACACAAGAGATTTTTGTTTAAAGATATAGCAGGTCTTTGACTCATGAAATACTACCTGAGTCAAGAACTGGGCTAAGGTATTACCTATAGTGTCTTTAACCCTGTGGAGATGCATGTAGTGAGTTACCGAATTAAAAAAATATGAGCTCTAGCATCTAAAGTCCTACAGAATTACACAAACGAAGAAGAGATTATTATTTGCCCCTCCCATTTTCTCTTCTCTTACAGTTAAGTGACAGTCATGCTTGTCAAGTGTTACTTGTTTCCTGAGCAATTTATTGGACTAATTTTCTGTACAATACTGAGAAAATAATATTTTTAAGGGCCAAGAGCAGTATAATTGGAAGGTTTTACAAAATTGCTTTTGTCAATAAATTTACCAGTTTGGTAAATTTGGGTTCTTTTAGATACACTGTAGTTGAAGTTGATGTGAATCCCAGAAAACTGTGGCTATGAAAAAGTAATTCCATTGCCCATGGAAAGCAGAATCAAGATACTTGCATAATTTTTTTTTTCTATGTATATGATGTAACAGGTATCTTTATGCTAACATACTGATTGCTAATAGGACAGTGTATGGTTCATGGACTGTGACAAACTACATCTGAAGACCTACAATGAAAGTAAAGAGACAAGATAAAGTATACTGAAATCTTGTTCAGGAAATTTCTACAATGGTTGACTATATTGTGTTGCCTTTCACAAGAATTTATAGATTTGCAGGATTTGGAAATTGAAATTATGCATCAAAATAGTTTATTATTAACATTTTTCTGTTAATTATATAATTTTATGTTATCTGATACATGGAAATAACTTTCACCGGCATATTTCTGATACTGCTTCATCTTATCTAAATGCTAAAAATTTCAGGAAACATCACTTTGACAGAATACAACAGCCTGCTGAGGTGCGGTGAAAAGAATTTATTTTTTTAAGTGGGATTTTGCACTTGTTGATCACAGTATTTGTGATCCAGGGCTACTCTGCTATCATCAATCAGTATCTCTTCTGAGAGAGTGGAACTCTTACTCCATCTGAGAGTTTATTTTGCATAATGAACACATGTACAGCAACTAATTTGAAAACCTTTTAGAGTTCTTAGTATGTGGCCTGGGATATTAGTTGTGGTGATAGGAAAACAATGCTGTAGTCAAGGGTTGACAAGATGGACAAGTACGATGTTACTTTATTGCCCATTTCTTGCACAGTATCACATGCTGCAGAGCAAGAACTGTGGGCCATTCTTTAAGAGCATTTCAGTTTTGAGGGGTGTTTTTGTTCCATCTTGAAAGCTAAGAATCGAAATACTCTGCAACTGCCATTTAAAATAGGACCGTCTTTGCTGGCTTCTCTGTGAGATTACAGTACTTGTAGTCTAATTGAGATATTTTTAGAACCAGAACCACTATATCCAGCTGGGAACCAGGTTGTTTGCCCATTGTAGGACGCCCAAAATCTTTGCAATCCTTAAACATGTCACATGAACAGTTCTGCATTTTGCCAATACTGGTGTTCACATCAGTTATTTCCTATACGTTCAATCAAACACACAGACACTAGAGAGTAAAAGAGGGAAACAATTTCTTTGACAATTTGCTTAAAATAAGTGGGAGATTTTTAAGGTGATAAGAAATTCTAGCTGGCAGAGATAGACCACAACTCTGTGGTCAGAGAAAAAGTGGTATTGTCAAAAGTGTATTTCTAAAAGGAAAAGTGTTGTATGACTCTGTACACTGTCAATATATAATGAGGAAACCCTTACCCCATAGGCTTGTCTTAACATACAAGAGCCTGCAGTGTTGGTAAGACAATGCTACTGCTGCAGACACATTTAGACACTGGTGTATTTACAGTTAGCAAAAATAATGAGTTATGCAGATCGATCCAAACATGGTTCAATAGAACCTTTAAATTTCCAAAACCCAAGGACATACATTAATTTTCCACACATAATGCACCATGATATCCACACATATTGAATTTGTTTGAGATATGTTCAATTCCTTTTTGCTAGGATAGTCAGACAGTTTCTCTGACTATCAGTGCATACACCAGATCAGAGATATTTTGGCATTGCTTGAATTCTTCTTAATATATAAATCAAAAATTCCTGTCAGTCCAGCACCAAATATTACCGGCCTTCAGCATCAGTTTCATATTGCTATCTGATCATGTTCAGATGAGGCAAATGACACATTTCTGTGGTGTAATGACAATTAATAACAGAGACTCAGAAATAGCTCAGGCGTGTCAGATGTGGTCCCAAGTTAGCACTTGCAGGTGAATTTCACAGTGCAGGATTGAAGTGTTTTATCTTGAGACCTCCTGGTCTTATCATATGATTGCAGAAAGCAGAAAAAAAAAAGTGCCTATTATACATTTAAAGTCAAATGATTCACTGCACAGAATATCCACCATCTTCCTTTCAGGACTGTATTTCAAGAGGTTTGGCAGTAAAACAGCCTGGCTGTGTGAGAACAGAAACCTCCGCTGGTGAACAGAGAGAGTGGCTCTATAAAATCAGCCACAGAATGAAAAACTGAAAAATGGGGCCGTAGGTGTTTTGATTTTAAAAATGCTTAAACATTTTTTAACTTAATTGTTTGGGGTCTTTTTCTATTGAATACATCAATGAGAAATTTAACACCCACACAATCTTGTCTTTTTCAGCTGGGAAAATGTGTTTTCTCACTTTGTGCAATTCCAATTGTTACAAATGTGAAAAGGTAGTGAAAACGTCATGACGAATTGCCCCCAGGCCCCCCAAAGGATGGCTATTTTGTTTCTGGAAGGAAAAACCGAACAGCTACTTACTTGAGCTCAAAGGCACAGCGCGGCGGTTTAAGGCGCTGACAGGGCGGGGAGAAGGGGCAGGCTTTGTTCCCCCCGCTGGGAGCAGTGCCAGGGTGGCCGCTGGCAGGACAGGCGGCGGGGGGAGGCCGGGGGCTGCCTCGGCCCCGCTGCAGCGGCAGGTGGATGCTGCGGGGCTTCCCCGCTCCCGAGCGCTCCGGCCAAAGGAGCTGTCGCTCTATATTAAATGGCTGCCTGCTTTTCGGGGCTGCTGACTGCTTCGTGGTTTGGCTGTTTATTTTTTTTAGCAGCCCTGCCGTCTCTGGGGGCTCCCTCCCCCCCCCCCCCCCCCCCACCCATCCCACTCCGCCGGCTCTCTAGGTGAGACTTCATCCCACCGCTTTCCCGTCCGCTCCCACCACAGCCCTTCCGCCCCTCGCCCTTCCCAGGGAGTCGCCGCCGCCTCTTCTCCCTGCCCCGCACCCTTCCTGGCCTCTCCTGCTCTCGAGCCAGGACGCGCCTGGATGTGGGCTGGGGCCGACCCGGCCGTGCGAGGAGAATCGCTGCTTTTCCGAGGAGCAGGAGGCGGCGGCCGGCCCGGGGGCGGCGGGGTAGTGCAGGGCAGGAGCTCTGGAGCGCCTCAGCCCCGCGCCGGGGACCGCGCTGTGTCGGGGAGCGAGCGGCTCTCCAGCCCGCCTCGGTATCTGTGCAACACGTTCACCCTTGTCCTCCCGCCACCACCCGCCGTTTCTTTTTTTTTTTTTTTTTTTTTTTTTTTTTTTTTTTTTTTTTTCCCAGCTCCTCCACTCTTCCTGCAGCGAGTTAAATATTTCTCTTGTTAATTGACGCCCAAAGTAGTCCCAATCCCTTCCCCGCTCCGCCCGGGCCGACCGAGGACGTGTGCACGCCCAGATCCGCTCGGTGAAGCGGCACAGATCCACGGGGCCGAGCGGGTATGTGCGTGAGGAGGAGGAGGTGGTGTAAAAGGAGCGACGGGCACAAAGCAGATTTGAGAGGAATAATTTAACTCCGGTGTTTGTTGTTTTTCAGGGGTTGTTTTCTTCCCTTTTCTCTCTCTCCTATCTTTTTTTATGCTCAGGATTTAAATGTCACTCAAAGCAGCCCCAGACCAGCTTTCCACTCTGGTTTCTGGTTTCTTCGGAGGCATTAACTGGATCACACGCTGCATTTGAAGAGCTTGGGTGTTTTACCCACTAAGGTAAGTGGGCTTATGCACCTATAACGGGTCCGGATGGTCACTGAAAGCTTTTCAGGGTGGTATTTTTCTTCCCCTTGGCCCCCGTCCTCAGTTCCATGGGGAGGTTTCGTTCTACCTGAAGAACTCGCATCCGTGGGGTTAAACATTGGTCGATGTACGGAAAATGCGCCGGGGGGGGGAGCGGAGTCGCCGGAGCACCGTGCCCGCCCCTAAGGCACCAGCCAGTGACCCGTGGGAGCCGGCGGTCGCAGCCGGCGACCCCCTCAGTTCCCAGTCCCTCTGCTCCTGGAATAGCGTCTGGCATCATAGTAAGGAAAGAAACAGCCTGATCCCCTCTTACAAGAAACTATTCGTCATCATTTTTTTTTTCCTCCGTGAGAAATATTGTAGGCGCTCATCTCCCTCCTCCCCCACTGCCCGCCCCCGTTGCCAGCGCCGGCTCCTTTGCCCGCACCTCTCCTCGATTCAGGTGGTTCTTTCCAGGCACTAAAAAGTTAAGCTGCCCCCTTTCTCCCCCCACCTGCCCCCATACGTACGCAGTGCATTCTCCTTTTTAACTATTCTCCCTGTGCTTAATCGAGGTCCGTCCAGCCCCCCCAACGCTTAAACTAGGTTGCAAAGCCTCTGTACCCTGCAACTACTAAAACTTCTCTTCTTGCTGTGATTTATACTCTATAATAACAAAAAGGACAACAAAAATATACTGGATCCTCCTGTGGATTACCTTTTTTTTTATTATTTTTTTTTTATAATGCATTTCTTTCTTCCCCTTTAATTTTTTTTTCAAGGAAATTTGCTCCATCTCCAGCAGCAACCACTGCTCCTTTTGATGTTGTGGTACACCGTGCGCATGCGCTTCACATTAGAATTACTGCACTGGCCAGAATAAGTTGGATCTCTTCTTCTCTTCACTGAAACCTTAAATCATATCAAAAGCTGAAGGGATGCTGAGAGTCCGGAAAAAGGGATACTTTGGGATTTGGTCATTCCCTTTAATAATAGCTGCGGTGTGTGCACAGAGGTAAGTGATTAAGGTATCTCTTTTCCTTTACTTTGAATTGCAGTGCATGTTGCTGGAGAGGAATGTAAAGCTGGGGGCTGAGAAATCAGAAATAAAACAGTATTATTCTTTCTTTTTTCTTCAGTGTCAATGACCCTAGTAATATGTCACTGGTGAAAGAGACCGTGGATAGACTGCTGAAGGGCTATGATATTCGCTTGAGACCAGATTTTGGAGGTAATTTTACTGCTTTTGCATAAGAGAGGTTGCATATCCGGGCTGGGTGCGTTGTTTGTGGGGGCGGTTTCAAACGTCTTGTGGGTGCTGTTGCTTTGGGGGGTGTGTGTGTTGCCATTTCCTGTAGCTGATCCAAAGTAAGCCCGTTGTTTTTCAATTTTCTTAGTACAGGATGCTCTTAAAGCGATCACTTAATTAATGCGATCATTATACTTGTATATTCGTAATCGGTCCCTCATTGTGTTGTGTGTGTGTGTGATGATACTTTACTAACCTGGAATTAAACCTTTGTTTAGCTGGTTTTATCGAGATGCAAACCTCTCTTAAGTTCACCCAACGTTTGTTCCTTTCAGCCTAATGTGCTTGTGATCACAGTTACTATTTTCGAGTACAAGATGTGCTGTTAACTGATACAAAAATGTCATTTAACCCCCTGAGTGCTCCTACTTCGAACTAGTTTGTTTATTTCGGAGGTGTTCGCTGAAGGTGGCCCTTTCCCCCCCACTTTGTTCCTCCCCAAACCCTTCCCCGGGCTCGGTGCTCGCCGTCCCCGGGGCGCGGGGCTGAGCGTGAGCGTGTCGACGGGGGTGGCGGCCGCGGAGGCCGGCGGAGGGGCGCGGAGCGGGGCGCACCGGTGCCGGCACGTGTGCGGTGTTACATAAAAGCACCGCTACGGCTGCGGTCGGCGGCCTGGGTAGCGTATGGTCCCGCGGGTGCGGTGGGACCCACTGAGGCGGGCTGGGGAGGAAGAGAGGGGGAAGCACTTTATGCCTCCTTCCTGAATTTCTGGTTATGTTTAAACGTCGTTTCATGTGTACGCTCTGTTCGCCATGCTAACTCTGGTAAGAATGAGTTAAGTTCTAAGAGATCACATTGCGGACCATCTTGTCGGTTTGCAGGTCCCCCAGTGGCTGTTGGCATGAACATAGACATTGCCAGTATAGATATGGTCTCGGAAGTCAATATGGTGAGTACTTAAGGTTTGGGGCTGCTTGCTCTAGGGGCTGCTTGCTCAAGGAGGTGGCTGTCGCTTCCCCCGCCTCTACTAAGGCGGCGCGGTGCCCGCGGACGTGCAGGGACCCGGCACGGCCTCGTGCCCCAGGGAGGCGCCGGGGAGGGACACATCGGCTGCTCGGGGGTCAGCGGAGTGTCGGGGGCGGCCTTCCTCCTTCGCCGGTGGTGGATGCCGGGGCGGGGAGCGGCTGCACCGATCCGGGCTGCGCGGAGCCGCTCCTGCGGCAGCTCCGGGGGCGCTCCCGCCCTCGCCGCCTTGCCGCGAGCAAGGGCGCCCCCTGCCGGCCCCGCTCGCTCAGCGCACGCGCCGCGCTCGCCCCGCTCCGCGCTCGCCCCGTTTCGTGCCTTTCCTGATGCCATTATTTTGTGCCTTGCTAAAAAAAAAAACCTAACAAAATCAATAATTGCCGTTGTCTCTTAGTAATAAATTTTCGATTAAAAACAAAAAAAAAAAAGATGTTTTTGCTTCTGTGTGTGTTCAAAACTTCCCTTTTTTCCCCCTAGCCTGACTTTGTTTTGGATGGTGATGAAAGGGTCGATGATTTTAGAAGTTTAATTTTTCCAAGATGTTTGTCTCTCTTACCTAAATACTTGGAACTGACTGTGCTCAAATGCTGAACTTGTTCAGAACGTAGAAACACTTTCTGTGTTTCAGTCACCTGGGAGACTAATGAGGTGTGGTGAAAATTGGACAAGTCTGATTCATGCTTTAGAAGAAGCTGTTCTTGACTTAGATGAAACTTTACTTTTTATTATTTGGAAGTGTTTGGGGTCAAGTTTTGGAGTTTTTGTCTTAATTTGCATGTTAATTGGTAAAAGACACGGAATTTGCCCTAACACTCATAAAGGCTTATAATGAACAACAAAAGACACTGAAATAGAGTAGCACAGGATACAAAAGTGATGCAAAATAAATATGGTTTTGTCACGTATTTGTGAATGAAAGTTTGTTGTTTGAAGCAAACTTTCCATTATTCTTGAAGAGCTTTCAAGCAAACATCTTTCTAAACACAAATGTGATTTTATGGCTATTGCTGTAGCTGTAATCGTGCATTTGAAAATAACACCTGGAAAGTTATCAGTTGTTTTAATATCATTGCACTACTAGAGTATTTAAATCTTCAGTGTCATGACTGGGTTCTCAGAGATGTTGCACTGAATGAATTGACAAACATTCGTTCTCAAACTTCATGACTTGTGTCTTGTCAATAAAAAAGTTTATTCATAATATAAAATAAAGCCCTTGGCCTAATTTGAGGATAACATTACAGGTAATTTTACTGTGTGACAGGGAGCTGTTGGTGACAGAGAGCTTGGTGCTGCTCTTTTTCAGGATACCAGGAAACCTGAATAATTTCATCTTCTGAAACATTACTTCTGGAAAATTTCTAAGTGGCTAAGAGGGGCTTCCAAACTTTGTATCACTAGACTTGTTATCTAGTGTTCTACCTTTGGGAGCTTTAAGTGCAGAGGAAGAAAAGTACACTGTATTTTAAACCACTTGTTTTTCATTAAGAGAACTGTGGGTAGGAGAAATGAGGGCGTAGAGTTATTTCTTAGACAGCCCTGAGCAGTGAGGTTTCTTGCTGGGACTGCGCTCTACCAGGTCAGTGTTATATCCTCCCATTCCTTCAGAACTAGAAGGTTCTTGTGGAAAAAACTTTTATACATCTTGTGAATCTTTTCTTTGTTTCTTTGAAGGTTTCTTGACACTTGGCCTCCAATTAAAGGGGATAGCATATCAGATCTGACACAGCCAAACTATGTAAGGCAGTATTATTTTTAGTATTCTGTAGTCAGTTTATTGTGTTTCTATAATGAAATGTTTGACCTTTCTGAAAAAAAATCTTTTCAGACTATCTGCAGAACTCAGAGGAGGGAATGTATAGACAGTTTCGTTCTACTAATTTGCCTAAAGAATTTAAGCTCTGGACATATTTTACTCTAAGAAGCCACCTGTTTCTTAAACCTAGGCAATCACGTTACATAATGTTTTTTTAGTTTACAGTTTCAAAAGAGATTCCAAACCAAGATTATAATCTGCTTAATTGCAAAATGTACACGTCATTTTCCAATGGCCTGTATAACATAGGAAGTGCTTATATACCCTGAATATAACCTGAAATCAATGAGGAGAGAGACATATAAGGAAACAATAAAATACTTAGTATGCAAGACCTGGGTTTTTAGTTTGCAAATTGAGCAGAATTTGGAGTAGAAACTAGGAAGAATACCATGGAATGCTAGCTGATGCAAAGCCTTCTGAGATAACAAGAGGCACAGAAACAACCTTTTGGATTTATGGACCTATTTTTTTCTAAGCATGGCCTTGCTGTGTGTAGCTTTGTAGTCATGGTAACACTACTGACTTTAGATAAAGGCCTGGACTCATGTACTAACATTAATGGGATCAAACTTCTGCTTTGGGAGAAAGGCTAAATAATCATAGTTATTCAGCTTGAGATAATTTTTATTAATTTTAATGTTGATTTATTTTAAAATTACATTTCTTTCTCAGTCTTGATATATGCATCTACCATATAAACTTGTGCCACCCTTCAGGCAGAATGTTTATGTCACTCCAGTGTCATTAAGTAAATCATGAAGTTTTCACTTTGTTGAACAAGATGATTTAGACTTGCTCTTATAGAAAGTAAAAGTATGTTAAGGATGTTCAAGAATATTGTTGACTTTGAATTCTTAGAGGTGATAAGTACTTGCATCATCATGTGTGAGGCATTACGGGTGCCTTATAATTATTTCTTCTATGCAACAAAGCTGAAACTGAAAGATGTTTACCTTGGGTAGTCAGAAACTTGAATTAGCATTTATCTGAGTTTACAGAAATGGTTTCAAAGTACTGGTACTCGGAACATAATTTGTTCCAGCTCTGGGGAATGCGCTGAATGAACACGAGAAAAGGGAGAGCTTTAAGTGTATGTGGTTATCAACAAATATAATGATATTTGGACTAATTTTTTTGTATTCTGCAAAGAAAAATGTACGGTAGGTATTTTGTGCAACACAGTAATGATTATGTCTAATTCCACTTGCCACGAGGTCTTGCAATATTGTTGAGTGTATCCTTTATTCTAGTTATAGATTTTGTTAGGGCTTCTCTTATTCAGGTAACAGTGGAGAACAAAGATGGAGATCTGTGAAAGCTACTTAAATGGTTTTCCTGGGCTAATGAATTTGATGTTATTTAAGATTAGCTGTGTTGCAGTGAATCTAAATGCAATGTCCACATTTCCACATTTCCCTCTCCATTAGTTTTTGGAATAGACCCCTTGAAAATGTAGCTATGCAGGCTATTCTCCATTCTAATTGTCTCCCTTTTTCTCCTAGCTATTCACTCATAAACTCGTTGTAAAAATTGGTACAGGTTCATTAAGAAATAATTTTTCTTCCCTAGACATCCCTGAAGATTCTGTGTAACATGTTGTGCATTTGATCTATCTAGATAAGACATGAGGATTTCTATGGATAATGGTGGTCATGTGTTAGTTTTCAATGTCTTGGCTTATTCCTTATTAAATAGGTCAACATTTCCGTCCTTTTTTTTTCTTTCCGCCTTGGTCTGTGTCTATTCTGGGATTCCAGTACAGAATGTCTTGAAAAGAGAGAGAAATATTCTGTAGCTACAGATTTTACTCAGGGAATATATACTTTTTGAGGTAATGGGTTTTATGTGTCCTGGGGTGACTGTATGGTCCGGTATCACTATCATGTGGTTTTATTGTCTAGATAGAAGTATAATGAAATACAGCTATTCACACTGTGGGTCACTGGGGTCTGCAGAGAGGAATCTGAATTATTTATTTAATTCCAAGTATTTGCTTGCTTAGTGCACAGGTTTTGGCACATGGAGTCAGTAGTGCCTGTGGAGTTAACCACAATGGATTGGTCTGTCTTCGTGGGGGCCATTACCGTTGATTGAGAGTATAATCCTTCCATCAAGTGGGAGTTGGAGAAACAAAGGAGCTGTTACCATCTATCAGGGAAAGGTTTCTTTCTTAGTGTGTGCCAAGTTTTACATAGCAGAGCCTAACAGCTTCCAAGCTCTAAAAAGAAAAGGGTTTATTTTTTGTTTTTATTTTTTAAATATTATATTTCACTTCTGTATTTGAGTTATGCCAAAGTTGCATAAAACAATAAGTATAATATTCATAGATCAGGATATTCTCAGAAATGTGCAGGCATAGCTGTAATTTGCTGGTAATTTGCTCTGATTTTGAGTTGCTCTTGATATTAGAAGCCCTCTTCTGGTTTACTTAAAATCATTTCAGTAGGGGACATTAACAAAGCTCAAGGTTTAGATTATGAAATAGGTTTAGATAATGAAAACAACAGGAGCTGTGTTGCTGCCTCTCAAGTAGCAGCAATTATCTTTATGTGTGTAAAGGGAAGAGATGGCTTGTGATATAAAAAGAAATGGGGATTAAGTGGCAAAGAAACCCAAAAACTTCATGGGAAGGTCCTGATAGAGAGAAATGAAAACAGGCAAAATTGTCCTATATACACTGGTGTAGAACGTGGTGAGGAAAATGGTCACAAAAATTGTTTCTGTCAGCAATATCTTCTTTTGTTAATACTTTGTAGTTGTTCATGTTGCTGCACATATTCTGTAGAGAGAAAAAGGAGAGAACAGAGCTGAAAATGCATTGAAAATGAAATATTGGAATATTGAGAAGGTGTTGCTTTGCTAAATACTTCTGTTGAAAAAGACGGCTTTATTAGTTTCTCTGTGTCATAAATGCATATGTTTCTTCACACAAAACTGCATTTCTCAGCACACAGTTTGAATTTGGCTCCTGTAAAATTATTTACTGACTCATACTGAAATATGTCTATAGAGACTTCTGTGAATGCAGAACAGGTGATGTATATCAGAAGTGAGAACTTCTTTTTACTGAAAATTTTGTTTCACCTTTTCTTTCAGTTACTGTCTGG